TCATCCTACAAAAGTGGCCTTGTGCCAGACCAAACCAACTTAAATCTTGATAGTTAATAGTGAGAAGAAAAAAATATAAATGCAATATTCAAATTCGATTAGACTGCCTCGATAGAAACTCACTGGATATTTTCCTCACAGATGAAGAGAAAACTTGAAGCAGCAGGAATATGGTTCTACAGAAGGATGCTGAGAATACCATGTATGGAGTATGTAATCAACAAAGCCGTTTTAAGAAAAATGGAAACAAAAAGGACAGTTATTCATAATTCTGTGACGTATAAAAAAATTTAGCACTCACGGGACATATTGAAGGTAAGAAGATATGTGATATATGAAGTACATATCTGTGACGTCTTGTGTCCCGTGACCTGGATTATTTTTTAATCAGCGTTTGAATTTGGTCATCATCGTCGACAGCAAATCGCCCGGAACGCTCTCAGTCCTTCAGGTCACTTTTGAAACTAGCGAATCCATTACGAACAAAATTTCCTGCTATGGCACCATCCCTATAAACGGCACATAAATGCTTTGCTGTTTGTACAGCGTTTTTTTTTTTTTTGTTTTTTGTTTGTTTTTTTTTTCATTTCTGGAAATAAAAAAAATCATCAAATTGGGAAAATGCCTCACATTTTCATCCATGGTCACTTTTAACGCAAAACGATTTAAGATCCACAATCCACATAGAGATCGTATCGAAAGACGCGTTGGAATTTCACCTTTATATATATAATGGACTCTCCCGTCGGTTTCGACGAATGAGGATCTGACAGCTTAGTTGATTCAGTTATGAAATTTCGTGCGATAATCTGAAGTGCCATTTAAGACCCGCTGGTGATTTACAAAGGAGGCCACATATGGAGCAAGAGTAAGGATTGTGACATCAGATCACTGGATATATATATATATATATATATATATATATATATATATATATATATATATATATTATAATATTTTTTAAAAAATATGATTCCTTCGCTACGTAAGTGTTCTCATGTTTCAAAAACGAGAGCCGAAACCATCAATATAATTATTAAAATTAAGTTGAATCAAGGTGTTGGGTCCCGTTTCATCTTCAAGCGAAAATTTAGGAATAAGCTATCTTGTGGTTTGCGCGTGTTTATAAGTATGGTCCATTGCAACATTAATTACTATGGAAACGGCTGGGTCGGCCGGCCATCTTGGTTAGGTGGTCAGACAGTTAATTCTTATCTACAGATTTGTCACCTTCGGAAAGGTTATGCCAAGTTAGAGTGGGGTATCTATTTCAAAGCTAATGGTGGAAGTCACCGTTTAGTTAGTTTACAGCGGAAGATATTTCATGGCGCGACGGCAACTCGTTAAGTGTCGAGAGGATTTTGTTATATTGTTGGGATCCGTCTACCCAGGTTTTTATTGCTATCTGAGTGTCAGGATTCCAAACATTTACCAACAAGACATCTTTTAAATGAAATATAAAAATATTATTTTCTGAAGGGAAAGTAGACGTAGAATGTCAATTGAAATTACATTTATACAGTATAACCCGGATATAAGAGAGTTGTCGGGACTGGAGAAGAAGTCTCTTATATCCGGGTTTCTCTTATATCCGGGTCTCTTATATCCGGGTTACACTATATATTCTTTTCAGAAATGTATAGTAGCAATAAGATGTTCAGTTTCCCTTGCAGTGAAGTTTGTTTTATAAAATATTTAAGTATTCTTAGTACGATGTGAAAATGTGCGGACATGGACGGTCAGCGAAATGTGTTTGAGTTCGTAGACAAAGGCTTAGTAGGTGATTACAGGTTATTCTCTTCTATTCTGTGCATGAACAAGGCCTCAGTCGCTGGCTGTTGACTTTTTGCCTTCCAATGTGTGTGCATTTGGAGGGGGTGCGTGTGTGTACGCCCGTGTAGAATAAACTGCCCTCTGGAATTGTTGTGAGAGCCAAGAAGTACGCTTCTATTTTTATATTCGTGAGGGGATAAAAAATCTAATTTCATATAGAGATGTGAACTTTTTGAATATAAGGTTTTCATTGGTTAGAAAAGAATAATATCACACTGGCTTGATAAAATCTTTTTTTCTCGAATTTGCGAGAGTGGTGAAAGGAGTTATTATTGTTATTTTCTAAATGATCCCAAAATAACACGTGATAGATCAACCGTTACGTCCGCCAGTATTTTGGCGGTTTTTGCAATGGTAATGATTGTTTATCCAACAAAACTTTCTGATGGGATTTTATTGGTTGAAAAAATATACATAGAATTTAAATCCTAAAATAATATACATTTTAGTCTTATGTGAAACTAAAGGACGTTTTTTAAACACAACCTATTGAAAAACGCTACGGACTTTTGTTCCAACCCACTATTTTTTGATAGAAGCAATTAATCATAAAGGGATAGCAAATTAATCATAATTTTATTTTGAATAAGGAATTGATTGATAAGTTTTCTACGGCTTATTAACCATTTGCAGTTTATTTAAAGCTAGAAGATATTTTTAGATTATA